CCAACAGATTACAAGCACTACTGACTACAGGAATCTGTTTAAACCACCTGGACCAGGTCCTGGATAAGCCCCAAGAGTGAAGAACTTGCCTTTTGACCCAGTGATCCCACTTCTGAGTATATATCCTAAGGATTCCAAAACACCAATTAAAAAGAATATATGCACCCCTATGTTTAAAGCAGCACAATTTACAATAGCCAAGATCTGGAAAGAGTCCAAATGCCCATTAGTTAATGAATGGATTTAAAAAGTATACTATGCAGCTGTGAAAAAGAAGGAACCCTTATATTGAGACAGCACTGATGAACATGGAGATTATTATGCTAAGCGAAATAAGCCAGACAGAGAAAGACAAATATCACATGATCTCACTTATGGGTGGAATCTAAAGAACAAATAAACTAACAAACAAAATATGACCAGAGGCATTGTTAAATGGAACAGAATGACAGGTCTCAGAGGGGAAGAGAAAGGGGACCCTGGAAGAGATTAAACAAAGAATATGTATACATATATGCATAGCCCATGGACACAGGCAATAATGTAGTAAAGGCCTAGGAGAGTGGTGGGGGTAGGTCAGAGGGAGGAAAAGGTGGGGGAGAGGGGAGAGCAGATATCTGTGATAGAGTCAACAATGAAAAAAAAACCTACGAGATAACATCTCATAGCCACCTNGGTGGGGGTAGGTCAGAGGGAGGAAAAGGTGGGGGAGAGGGGAGAGCAGATATCTGTAATAGAGTCAACAATGAAAAAGAAACTACGAGATAACATCTCACACCTGTTAGAGTGGCTATTATCAGCAACACAAGTAATAAGTGTTGGAGAGGTTGTGGAGAAATCGGAACCTTCATTCACTGCTGGTAGGAATATAAACTGGTACAGCCACTACGGAAAACAGTATGGCAGTTCCTCAAAAATTTAAGAATAGAGTTACCATATGACACAGCAGTCTCTCTTCTGGGTAGATCTACCCCCCAAATTTTAAAACATTTATTTACAAGGATATATGCACCCCTATGTTCATTCCAGCATTATTCACAGTTACCAAGACGTGGAGGTAACCAAGNTTCCAGCATTATTCACAGTTACCAAGACATGGAGGTAACCAAGGCTTCCTTTGATAGAGGATTGGGAAAAGGAGATATGGCGCATGTATAATATGGAACACCACTCAGACATAAAAAAGATGAAATACTGCCATTTGTGACATGGTGGATCTTGAGAATATCGTGCTAAGCCAATATGTCTGTCAGAAAAACTTGAGAACCACATGATTTCACTGACATGTGGGATACAAAACTGACAGTAACAAATGAACAAACAAGAAAATCAAACAAACAAAAACTCATGGACACAGACAGCAGGATGGTGGTGACCAGAAGGTTAGGGGGGTGGGGTCGTGAAGGGTGAAGGGGGCCAAATACATGATGACGGATGACTTGGCTTGGAGTGAGNAAACTCATGGACACAGACAGCAGGATGGTGGTGACCAGAAGGTTAGGGGGTGGGGTCGTAAAGGGTAAAGGGGGCCAAATACATGATGACGGATGACTTGGCTTTGAGTGGAGGGAACACAATGCAATATATAGATCATGTATCATAGAAATGTACCCTTGAAACTCCTATGCTCTTATATTTAATTTAACAATAAATAGTAATTTTTACAGTACTGTACCAAATGTACTGTTAAAAGGTAGTATCCTTGCTGTGTGTGAGCATCAGGCACAGTTCTGCCTTATCCTGGGGATGTTCTTGTCCCAGTTTCAGGAGGTTTCTGCACATGCATGTGCTCATCACTATTCAGGTGAATATTCAGGGGCACCATCTGCTCACCTCNTCTCTGATGATTAGTGAAGTTGAGCATCTTTTCATATGTGTATTGTCCATTTGTATGTCCTCTTTGGAGAAGTGTCTATTCACGTCCTTTGCCCATTTTTTAATTGGATTATTTTATTGTTTTGGTGTTGAGTTGTATGAGTTCTTTATAAATTTTGGGTATTAACCCTCATCAGATATATCATTGGGAATATAAATGAAGATTTCTTATAGAAAATTTACACACATTGCATGTTGCATTTTTTTCCGTTAACATAAAAGNATTTACACACATTGCATATTCCATTTTCCCCCATAAACATAAAAAGTATACTTACTAAGAGGCACAAATGTTGGTACATGTACCTGAACTCAATATTTAAGAATAACAATCTATTTTATCATGTTTTCAAAAAACAATAAGTGGCCATTTAAAAGTTAGGAAATATTTCACACCCCTAAGAAATATTGAATCATAAGTTTCTATAGAAAGCAAGTTGTGCTTCTAATGAAGCCATAATTGAGTCTGTGAAACAGAAGTAATAGAGAAATTCAGATGCACTGGATGGAACATGAACAAATTACCTAAAAACTGGTAGAGAGTTCTGGCATCCACGAGAAGGAGGAAAGATGGGGGACTTAGAAGTGGAAAGCAAGAGGGAAAACAATGTTGCTTTATCTCTAAGAATGAGAATAACGTTTGTCAAATAAAAGTTGATGGTTTTGTTGAAGCTCATCTTACAGGAAAAAAAGAAAACTAAAGCCCATTATAAATGATAGTCCTTATATATTATGGATAGAAATCTATACTATTTCTGAATTAAAATTATTTTATTCCAAACTATGGATTTTCTTTTCATTGTCTTTCAAACATAGCAGTTTTTAATTTTAATGAGGTTTAATATATTTTTCTTTTGTGGGTTGTGCTTTGTTCTTATATCTAAGAAATCAGTACTTAATCAAAGGTCACTAAAATTGTCTACTATGTTTTTTTTATACCTTTCACAGGTTGAGGTNCTTTTGTGGATTGTGCTTTTGTTCTTATATCCAAGAAATCAGTACTTAATCCAAGGTCACAAAATTCCCTTCTATGTTTTCTATTATACCTTTCACAGGTTGAGGTTCAACATATATGTGTATAAATGTAATTAAATTTGTGTACAGTTCAAGGTTTAGATCAAAGTTTTATTTTTATATGAATATCCATGTTTATCTATCTACTGTCTTGCTACCTTTGTTGATAGTCAGTTGTTTATATGTGTGTAGGCCTATTTCTGGACTCTATTAAGTTTATCTATTTATTTTATTTTTACATCATTACCACACTGTGTTCATTACTGTAATTTTAGAAAAAATCTTGAATTGCAATAATAGTACTCTCTCAATTTTGTTCTTTGTTCTTTTTGTTTTGGTAATTGANAATTGCAATAATAGTACTCTCTCAATTTTGTTCTTTGTTCTTTTTGTCTTGGTAATTGAAAGTCTTGAATTTCCATGTGAGTTTTAGAGTTCTCATGTCAATTTCAACAAAAAAAAGTATGCTGAGATTTCAATGGTTGAATTTATAGATCAATTTGCAGAGATGTGATATTCTAACACATTGAGTATTTTAATCCACAAACATCCATTAATTTAGGTATCATCATCAATGTATTTAGGTCCTCTTTAATTACTTGCAGGTAGTTTTCATGCTGAGGTGGTTTCCTCATATGCATGTGCCATTTTATACTTACCAGAGGAATCAGGATGGACCCTCTGCAGATCTTTTGAGCCCTCTCCTTGTGCATCTGTCTCCACTATCAATGCTTTGGTCCACTAGGCTCCCAATTCTGCCCCCTCAGAAATCTTGAACCAATTTTAAAGCCATTTCAACCAAACAATGTTTTTAATAAAAAATTTTAAAGCATATGTTCTGGAGTTGTGGCATGTTTAAATTAGAATCACAGAACATCCTTTTAAAAATAAAATAGTTCAAACTGTGATTTTAGAAAATAAATTCAAAGTGTGAAAAATTTTAAGTTTTGTTTATGTGAGCAGTTTGCCCAAATTCATTGGAAAGATCAATTACGTGTGTAAAAGAATCCAAGACTGACAAGCAGCTCTGAAATGTGTCATCAATGAGTTTTCTCAAGTTGCTTAAGTTTAAACAAAGTGTTAAGGAGGAAAAATTGAAATAAATCTGGGAAATATAAAAAATCAATACATATTCAAACTAAACATGAGAGTAGAAAGGTTTGATGGGCTGTGTTGCCAAACAAAGGTAGTAGATCTGTTAATGCAGTCTGTCAATACAGTATTCACAAAGGAGCTTTCAAGGTTTATAGGAGAGTGATCTCTCTTCTCAGGCCAGGGGAAAAGAGGCCTTGGGTAAGCATGCAACATCCCCTTGACAAGGTATGGGTGAGCAGTGTTTGCTCAAGGGAAATCCTAATACCATTCAGTGTAAATGGCAACCCTTGGAAAAAATGTTTGATGGTATCTGTTAAATTTTGGTAAAATAAAGAGCCAGAAAAGAGATTGGCAAAAAAGGTTAATTCAGAAAATAATATCTGAATTGAATGGAAAGGAGAATATGAAAGAGAAATGGAATGTTTACATTTGGGCTACAATTCTGCATTAAAGAGACAGTGAGGTAGAAAGTTAAGAAGTAGATAATGAAGGGAAATAAAAGTAGAATGAAATGTACCAGTGGGATAAGTCTTTATCAGAATTCTAGTTGGAATATTGATGCAGAATGGTCAGTTTTCCTCCTCACACTTAGCATAGCCTTGAGTCTGGGTAGGACAAGCTGTCCCATAAAAGACCCTGCAAGATCCCTTTCCTAGTTCAGTTCTCTATGGTTAAACCAAATTAATTAGCATTCATTGGTTGTTATTTTGTGACTGCACCTGACCTTTTAAGGAAGAAAATTCCTGGAGATCCAATCATATCATATAACTTGAGTGAAATTTTCTGAGCACAGAAAGTAGATATTTCAGTAAGTTCCCCACAGCAACTAGTGTAATGTTGAGAAAGTAGCTAATGTTCAAACACATGTTTCTGCTCCTTGAACAAAGACACAAGACTCAATCCTACCCAGAAGGCAGCAGAAAAATACAAGTGGGCTCTTGCAGTATGGAAGGAGATTAAGAATGAAAACTGAGTCTAACTGCATGTCTATATTTGCTTTTGTTTTTCAGAAAATTGTCCAAAGAATGATGAAAATATTAAAATTTTGCCTGTAGTCCTCCTTGGAATAGTTTTTTTAATTATCTTTTACTGCTGTGGAACTAATGACAATAAAAAAGGTAAGATATAAGAAATGGAAGATAATAAATTATGCTAAAGTCAAAAAAATGAGTGAGACAATGAGAACGAGATGTTACCTGTTTAAGAAAAACAATAAAGTTCAAAATAATAACACAATGTTTTTCTTCTATTGCATATTTCAAGTGAATGTATTATAAATCTATAAATTACCATATTATGATGGTAAAGTTGACACTATTAAAAAAACAGAAATGAGGAAGATGTGAGAATTTGATGCAAATTTTTACTTAAAGTCAAATTTTCACCTGGCCCCCAATGGTCTCAGCCTGTTCATGGTCTCTAAAATCCTTCCCCATTGAATAACTGACTTCTCATCTGAAGTTAGAAGGAATATCACTTAAATTCCCAAAGATTTTGATGTCTGTCTTGCTACCAGAATCATTCCCTTAGTATCTGTGACGAACCAAGCTGCACTGTTGAGGAAAACACCATGGCAAGGATCCCATGGCAGCCTCAGGCCAAGAGCCAGCAGGGAATTGAGGCCCTCAACCAAATAGCCATTCAGTTGGAATTCTGCCCATAGCCTTACAAATGGGCTTGGAAACAGGTTCTTCCCTAACCAGGTCATAGTGGTGAACTCCTTGATTGAAGCCTCTTGAAAATCCTTGAGGTACAGCATCCAATAAAGCCATACCATGTTCCTGATCTACAGAAACCATTAGATAATAAATGTGTGTCCTTTTAAGGCACGCAGTTTGTGGTCATTTTTTATTTAGAAATATAAATAATACACATTTATTAATAATTTTCCTTGGAAAATAGGAATAACCTTGGAATAGATCCAGCAAAATGAGACATAAGTATTCCTATTTAAAATTCATATACAGTGAAATAGGTAATTTTTATAAAATGAAAATATTTGTTTGTGAAGTGGATACCTTGTTTAATTACCTACTCTTTTAAAATATATTTTTATCGGTCCTCATCAGTTTTTAAAATTTGCGGTTGATTCTCAAAATAATGGCTATTACTCATTCTCCAACAAATTAAATAGATAACTTATGTATTTTCTTAATTTTATTTTTAATTGCCTTGTGCATTTAACATTATTTTGTTTAGTGGTTAGAAAATCATATACCTTCCAAAGTGTTCCCCACTATATTTCAAGTACCCACCTGGCACCACACGAAGTTATTCCAATATTCTTGACCATGTTCCTTATGCTTTGCATCCCAGGGACTATTTTGGAACTACCAATTTGTACATGTCAATTCCATCACCTTTGTCACCTAACCCCCAAGTCCCCTCCCCTCTGACATACATCAGACTGTCCTCTGCATCTCTAAGTCTTTTTGTGTTTTCTTTGTTCATATTGTTCTTTAGATTCCACATATAAGTGAAGTCATAGGCTATTTGTCTTTTTCTGACTGACTTTTTTCACTTAGCATAACACCCTCTAAATCCATCCATGCTGTTGCAAATGGTAAGATTTTATTCTTTTCATGGCTGAGTACTATTCCATTGTATATATGTACCACCGTTGTAGATACACTCATCTTTGAGGGGCACTTAGTCTTTGTCCAAATCTTGGCTGTTGTAAATAGTGCTGCAATGAACATAGGGGAGCATGTATTCTTTCAAATGATTGTGTTGGGTTTCCTCAGATATATACCCTGCAGTGTAGTCTCTGGATTTTAAGGTAGTCCCTTTTTGACTTTTGAGGACTTTCCATTCAGTTTTCCATAGCTCCTGCATCATTCTGCATACGAGGAGCAATTCACAGAGGTTCTCTTTTTTCCACATCCTCGCCAATACTTGTTGTTTGCTGATTTATTGATGGTAGCCATTCCCCCAGTTGTGAATGATATCTCATTATGATTTTAATTTGCATTTCTCTGATGATTAGTGATGTTGAGCATCTTTTCATATATGTATTGTCCATGTGTATGTCATCTTTGGAGAAATGTCAATTCAGACCTTCTACCCAATTTTAAATTGGGCCTTTTGGGATTTTGAGTGTTGACTTATGNTCTGATGATTAGTGATGTTGAGCATCTTTTCATATATGTATTGTCCATGTGTATGTCATCTTTGGAGAAATGTCAATTTAGACCGTCTACCCAATTTTAAATTGGGCCTTTTGGGATTTTGGGTGTTGACTTATANAAATGTCAATTCAGACCTTCTACCCAATTTTAAATTGGGCCTTTTGGGATTTTGAGTGTTGACTTATGAGTTCCTTATAAATTTTGAACATTAACACCTTAAGGATGTATCATTGGCAAATAATTTTTGCCATTCAGTAAGTTGTCTGTTCAGTTTGTTGATGGTTTCTGTTGTGGTGCAAAAAGTTCTTAGTTTGATGTTGTCCCATTTGTGTATTATTGCTTTTTTACTACATGACCCAGGAATCCCAAGTCTGGGTATTTATCCGAAAAAGAAAAACACCATATTCATTGTGTTTTTAAATTCACTGTGTGCATTATTTATAAAAATAACAAACATATGGAAGCAACCTAACTGTGCTTCAACAGAGAATTTGATAAAGAAGGTGTGTTATATATGTAAAGGGAAGTATTACTCAGCCATAAAAAGAATGAAATCTTGCTNTTGTGTTTTTAAATTCACTGTGTGCATTATTTATAAAAATAACAAACATAAGGAAGCAACCTAACTGTGCTTCAATAGAGAATTTGATAAAGAAGGTGTGTTATATATGTAAAGGGTGTATTACTCAGCCATAAAAAGAATGAAATCTTGCCATTTGCTATACCACAGATGGACCTAGGGTGTACTATACTGAGTCAAACAAGCCAGACAGAGAAAAACAAATAGCATATGATTTCACTTCTAGATGGAATCTAAAAACAAAATATGCAAAGAACCAAAAGAGAAACAAACTCTTGTAGAGAAGAAACTGATGATTCCAGACAGGAGGGGGTTAGGGGCTGGGTGAAAATGTGAAGAGATTCGGAATTATAATTTGGGAGTTACAAAGTAGTCATGGCTTAAATATCCAGCATGGAGAATATAATCAATAATATTGTGATAACCATGCATTGGGTCAGGTGGGTGCTAGACTTAAAAGAGAGATCACCATGTAAGTTAAACAGATGTCTAATCACTGTGCTGTGCACCTGAAACTAACAGAATATTGTATGTCAACTCTATTTGCAATATTTTAATTTAATAAATATGTAAATAGATGAAGCCAATGGCCATGAAATAAAGCTGACCACCTGAATATTGGGAACATAATTAATGTCAAAAAGACTTTATAAATTAGCAATCAAACTAATNAATAAATATGTAAATAGATGAAGCCAATGGCCATGAAATAAAGCTGACCAACTGAATATTGGGAACATAATTAATGTCAAAAAGATTTTACAAATTAGCAATCAAACTAATTCTGAAAATGTTATATTTCACTAAATTAGCTCCATAGTCCTGCTTTTTATTTACTGTAGGAAAGGTCAGCACATAATGAGCTTTGTGCAGGAGGGGTGGCAAGGTGAAGGTGTGTGTTGATGTGTATGTGTGTGAATTTGTGTGTGTTTATCTGAAGCCTGGTAAAGTCAATATTAAATATGAATTTATTAGTAAATTTGAAATCTCTTTGTTTCTTTCCCAAGAAATTGACCTATACTTTTTTTTTTTCTTCCAGAGGAACTTCAGACAAGATTAGGTAAAATATACGGCATCCCTTTACTTTTAATCTCTTGTAAAACAGCTGGCTAATTTCTCTCTTTGCTATTTCCTGACTTTTATCTCTATGCCTTCCATTGGCCTATTCTCCTGATGTCTGCTCTTCCCACCCTAATTTTGGGACTGGTCTTCTCCTCTTTGGATTCTTGCCAATTTTTGTTTCCCTTCCCATTCCTGTTTCTTTCATTTTATACAATGATTTCCCTGTAAACTTTGGCTCCATCCATCTTGTAGAAAAGAGCTTGTTTCATTAAGATGTTAGNGGTCTTCTCCTCTTTGGATTCTTGCCAATTTTTGTTTCCCTTCCCATTCCTGTTTCTTTCATTTTATACAATGATTTCCCTGTAAACTTTGGCTCCATCCATCTTGTAGAAAAGAGCCTGTTTCATTNATGTTAGAAGATGTTAGTGAGATGAATGGTGTTAAACTTTTAGACACATGGTTTGAATAAGACATCTATGTAATATATATATATGTGTGTGTGTGTGTGTATGATGAATATTTCTGAGAAGGTCCCAACTTAGGACCTCTCACAGGTATTCCATGTTTTGGGCACCATTACTATAGAGTTGATGCTTCTCTAAATCCTGAGGAGACAACAGAAGACTCCAAAGCTGCAGTGACTTTTCTCTGTGCATTGTCTCTTCTAAGCCTGTGCTATAATTAATTTCTCATGTCATG